GTAATCGATACACATGTCCTTACTTTCAGACATTTTTATTAAATTCCCTGACTTTCCTTAATTTGGATCATTTCAATAAATTCTGTGACTTCTACCGAGATAGATGTTTAAGAAATGATGATAATAATCAATGACAATGGTAACAACAATTCTGAATATGATTATTATTTTTTATATCATCACCATCATTACTATCATTATTTTTAAAATTACTGCTATAATAATGATGATAATATTATTAAGGATAATAATGAAAACAATGATAATGGCAATTGTAGTAATAACAAAACAAAATACTGATAGAGATAACAGGAAGAACATTGACTATAGATAATGTAAAGGCCCTTTCTTCGGCAAGCTTAGCCTCGAGAACAGCAGGACTCCCAGAGATTCCCCAAAAAACGTCCCTTGGTGTCACAATGAATATTACTTGTTATGACTCGGAGAACATACTCTCAGTACATTAGACTAGCGGAGAAGCCCCACCCCTCACAGTGTACCAGAAGAAACACTAGACAAGTAAAATGCGCTACTTTCTTATGAATTTTAGGTACAGGTGTTTAGAGTTAATAATGGTAAGTCATACACACAGGCATACCCTGGCCTTTGGTGGGATTTCTACACCACAAAAAAAAGAGAAAAACAAAAACAAGAAAAAAAGACATTACTTCAGTGCATAGATTGTATGGATAATCAATAAAGACAGATTCATTTCTATTTAAGGTTAATCAATTTCTTTGACGATTCCCTGATTTGTGGAATTGTTATCAAATACCTTAGCACTTCCTTTTTGCGAGACATTTTTGTAAGTTCCTTTAACTTTTCCATAATTTGTAGCACTCATATTGAATTCTTTGATAAGTAACTTTACAAAATTCCTTAAGTATCCCCTGTTTCAAGGAATCTTTATCAAGAATCCCAGCTTTTCCTAACTTTGAGGCATTTTTACTAAATTCCCTGACTTTTCTTAATTTGGATCATTTCAAGAAATTGTGTGACCTACCAAGATAGATTTCTATGAAGTAATTACAGTATGAGTATTATGATAATCAATGATAATGGTAACAATAATTCATCATCACCATCATTATTATCACTACTATAACAATAATGATAATACTATTAAGGATAATAATGAAAACAATGATAACGGCAATTATAGTAATAACAAAACAAAATACCGATAGAGAAAACAGGAAGAACATTGACTTTATAGATAATGTAAAGGCCCTTTCTTCGGCAAGCTTAGCCTCGAGAACAGCAGGACTACCAGAGATTCCCAAAAAAACGTCCCTTGGTGAATGTAAATAAACCAATATGACGATAAGGAACGATCTTTTTTATCAGACATTGTTCTGGGTTCCGAGTCTGATTAAAGTGATTTTCTTGGTGATATGAGATTTAAAACTAGTACTAGAAACATTCTGTTGTCAAAACTGTTCGAACGCTCAGCCATTTTGGAACGGTTTTCGTAACTGGCAATGCAAGCTAAGATCTTTATAAGTACTTACATAGACCTTGATCGAGTCTTGCATTCCGTTTGGCATTTAGTGGCGCTACAAAGCGCATGGTTTCAACGTAACGAGCTGAAGAAGGATACTTGTATTCTATTCTGCAGTTGCGAGAAGTGGCGCGCTCAAGGTCGATATAAGTATTATAAGTACTGATAAAGACCTTGGGTAGTCTTTGTAACGCACAAAAGTATTCCGTTGTTTCCAACAGGATGCAAGGCTGGTAATGTTGATTTTAGAGAAAGTTACATGTTTAGCCCATATGGACAAATCGAAACAACACTTAATCTCAAAATTCTAAACCAGGAATTTCTTACGACCATTTGGTTCAACAGCGTTTCGATATATTTACAAAAGTTATTGATTTTCCTGGATTTTCTGAAGTGTTTGCCGCCGAAGAAAAGGCCTTTATGTATGATCATTCACATTATCGAGAACATGTCCTTAATGAAAATTATAATTATGATAATAATGACATAAAAGATGTCATCTTGAATAGTGACATCATTATCAATGTACATCGATATACTGATGATCAATTTAAATTTTGAAAATACTTTAATTTTATTATTCCCTGATAACTTTTGATAGACATTACAATTCATACCTGTAGCACATACAACAAAGCAAGAACTGGAAAGCTTAAAGAGTTACTAATCACATTAAGGATAATCAGAGGATAATAATGAAAAAAAAACAAAAAAACTAGACGAATAGAATAATTAAAAAGAAAACGAATGAAGACGAAAATACTCTCAGCGTAACACGAAACTGCGCAACAACGTATTGATGACGATACCTGCAGAGCACAGAAGAATGGATCCTGTGATTATTAAAATCGAATAAATAGTGCAGTCAGTTTTGTAGTAGTTTATTATGCCGTCGCTGTATCTATAGTATTGGCAGCCTACGGCAATAGCAGTAATTATCAGTGAGGTACCAACTAAAGCTCCCACCGATCCAACAGCAGTAATGATGTTTGCTGTTCTCTTGGTAACGGTTGCTCCACACATCTGCCAATGGTCAAACTCGTATGTAATATTCTGTAAAGGGTTCCTGGACTGGGATTTTAACCAACTAGAAAATAAAGATTGGTTCTAGGCGAAACGGTGTCAAGACCTTATAAGATGGTTAAGATGAGCAGTTACGAAAAAAAATCTAGTTCATTGATAATGGGGTGGGAATTAGAAAATATATATATATATATATATATATATATATATATATATACATATACATATACATATTTATGTATATAAATGCATATATATATATATATATATATATATATATATATATATATATATACATATACATATGTATATAAATATATATATATATATATATATATATATATATATATATATATATATATATATATATATATATATATATATATATGTGTGTGTGTGTGTGTGTATGTATGTATATATACACATGTACATATCAAATATTTCAAGTGTACTCTAAAAAGGACCGATTGCATTACGCAAAGTCTTACCTGCATCGACGCCATCTTCAATTTCCGTCTATTGTTTCGTCCTCAACTGCAAGTGAAGTTAAAGTTATGGAGAGTTGTCATTAACAATATAACATTGCACAGATCCGATTGTTTTTGTCTTATCATAGGGAACTAGTTATTTGTCAACAGGCCATTTGATATTTTTCTCTGTCACCCACAAGCCTTTCTTAAGTGTCCATTTCATGCATTAACCCACTTAAGAATGCAAAATGTACTCTTTGAGACCCACCCTTAGGAATGTGCCAATACTATCCACACTGACAAAAGGGACAATCATAGATAGTATACACACACAATGTTTTGTTTATTCTTTTTGTTTATAAACTACACAAAAATGTACTTAGTATACATGAATTATGCTTCAAAATCAAATCATATATAGGGTCATTTAGTAAATTGGCGCCCTAGCTTTACCGCCTATCAACATTTAAATCTAAAATCTTGGAGATGAACTAAGAACGCCAAACACTGCACGTGGAAGCTCTCCTGGCGCATCTTTTCAATACAGATGCTCCAACTAATGCATTCAGACTTCAAAAGAGTAATTCAGGTGACCGAAGACCGTATGAAAATTCTTCAGATGCACAATATACACGAGTCGCTGTGCCCGCACTTTAGAATTATTGTACAAGTTGAATGGGTCGAACAGAGAAGATTCAATGCACTTACTTGACAATGCATCTAGGTGACTGCGTTGATATGAGCAAGATGAGGCAGAGGTGCGCCATAAAAAAAGCCTAGATTAAGATACCACAACCGTGTAAAAAGCACAGTGATAAAATCTTAAACTTTATCACTGTGTTACCGTAAGCTTACACAGGACTGGAACTATACACGCGAACACCAGATTGTGTAGCAAAGGCATTATATAATAAATAATGATAATGATAATAATAATTGTAATAATAATGATGATGGTGATAATAATAATAATAGCAATAATAATAATGATGACAATGGTAATAATAATGGCAAAAATAACAAACAAATAAATAAATAAAATGTATATTATACATGTACACCACTCCTCATAAAAAAAACATAATTGTGTCTGCTTTTAACCCTCAAGCGAAGAGAGAAAATATATGCATATATTCATGACTTCAGCAAGTACGTTCGCCGCATCTTATATATAGAAAAAGCAAAAAAAAAAAAAAAAAAAAAAAAAAAAAAAAAAAATAAATAAACAGACGTACCTGCAATTTTACAACGTAACGTCATTTTCGATCCATGGAAAAGGTGAGATACAGGGTATATGTCTCGTTTATCCATAATGAGGATATTAATGACATTAAAATAATGAGTTTAATTCATAGGAATATTCTAAGGACCCTTATCCGTATTCCTCCTGTAGGCACAGTACAGGAATTCATAACCGAGATAAGAGGGAGAGAACTTCTCTTGTCGAAATCCAACAGGGTGGAAAGGCCCTTGCAACGTGAAGATAAAGGAAATGCATACGTATGTGTGTGTGTGTGTGTGTGTGTGTGTGTGTGTGTGTGTGTGTGTGTGTGTGTGTGTGTGTGTGTGTGTGTGTGTGTGTGTGTAATACATGTCGAACAAATTACAAAAGGAACAACGAAGGGAAGAACAAGAAAACACACGAATATATCAAAGGCCTTTTCTTTTTCTTTTATTTTTTTATTTCATTTTTAATGATATCTACTTTACTTTCTTTACTTTATTTTGCGCAGCTCAATAACTTAATTTACTTTTTTTTTTACAATATATCCTGAATGCACACACATATTTGTGTATGTGTGTGTATATATAAATAAATAAAATAAATAAATAAATAAATAATATATATATATATATATATATATATATATATATATATATATGTATGTATGTATGTAATATGCATACATATTTATGTATATATATGCACACACCTACACACACACATACACTCATATATATATATATATATATATATATATATATATATATATATATATATATATATATATATATATGTATGTATACAGCCATTAATTATCAAGTGCAAGAAAAGGAGAAAATCAGTAGGTCAAGGAACTTTATTCATACAATGACAAATCACCATGTATTGTGCTATATTTTGATCAATTTCTTCTGTTTCATACTTCCAATGATATTGTAAGGTGGCATCCTACATCCCGCCATCTCCCCTCATCTCATCTCGCCGCCAGCCTCCCGTAGTCTCGCGCGCCCTGGCATCTCTCCGCCCGGTCAACGCTGGCTCCAGTCGTTGTTTTCATGGTTTCTGCAATTATATGTGAACTTATTGTCGTTTTGCGGTTTTATTTTACGTTAGTTCATAGAGGTCACTTCTGTTTGAGTTTGCCCTTTGACCCCGTACTCTAATTTGCAATTAATTAAAAAAAAAATTCTCGATTTTTCTGTGAGTTTGAGGGTCAGTTTTTCTTATAAAATCATCACATATTTGTTTACCCTTTTTGTTTATTTTCCTAGCTTTATTCTGATTTTAAAGAAATGTCTATTTTAACGTTATATTTTACCAATTGCACGTCTTTCTGCCTACTCCACCTTGAGTACGCATTTTTCCCGGTCTCATCTCGTTATGAGGATCATTTTATGTATGTTCTGTGTTAATTTTTTTATGTTTTATGTACAAACTTTCGTTTTTACGAACGATGTTCGCCGTCACCATGTTTATAAATATAAGCCACGTTGAAAGGGAAATACATTTGATTCTCCTCGAAACAACGGCGTTTTACTCTCCTCCTGGCTGATCTACCCTGGCATACCGGACGGTGGAATACACTGCAAATATCTTGGCGCCATCCTACACGAACAATATAAGTTAAGTCCTGTTTCCTGGCCATTTTCTTTACGCATAGGAGCTGGCCGTAATTCTTTGTTATAAACGTATATATGAACCAGTCTTAGGGGGTTCTACATTAATCATTAAGCTCGTGGATATTATCGAAGCTTTCTTCTTCCCTTCATTGTTTAAATTGCCGTTTTATTTTATTCTCACTCGATAATGCCGAAGCTTATACACGGGGAGTCAGTTGGTTTCTTGATTCACGCTACCACTCCATAGAAACCAATTTGACACGAACCTACTAAGCAGATTTATAACGGTTACGGAACCACAGTACCCCACTACAATATTAAATCAATATAAAAGATTTCAATTTGGTTTAAGTTGTCTATCAAGATACCAGCTGCTCCATGTAGTTATAAACATACCACTAGTTAGCAAAACAAAGTACATCATACTATGAAAAATTAACTAGTGCTTAATGAAACATCTCAGTCATTTGTATTACTACATTATTATTCCGTTTATAAATATCTTGCTTTACCAGCTACAGGCGCTACAGGTTTGAATACTATAATTACAAACGTAAAATGTAACTCAAAATCACAATCAAATACCAAACGTAAAAAAGACCAGAAAGAAAATCAATTTTGGTTTGTCAGTGAATCAAGCAGTAGTTGCAGTTTCATTTCTGCAACCACTTTCAGTTTTCAGTTATAAATATCCCAGCTGTTACTCCGTCGCGAGGAATCGTAAAAGGCTCTCCTTTTATTCTAGGGCTGTTGTGGGCCTTGTTCGTGTGGGAGTCCTCTTAGCTGCTGGGGGTATGATGGAACTGCTTCTTGCTGTGGGTATGATGGAGTTGCTGCCCGCTGTGGGTAGGGTGCAACTGCTTCTTACTGTGGGTATGGTGGAACTGTTTCTTGCTGTGGGTATGATGGAGTTGCTGCCCCCTGTGGGTAGGGTGGAACTGCTTCTTACTGTGGGTATGATGGATCTGCTGTCCGCTGTGGGTATGATGGGGATATTCCTTGCTGCTGGTAAGGTTGACCTGTTCCTTGCTGCTGGTAAGGTTGACCTGTTCCTTGCTGCTGGTAAGGTTGACCTGTTCCTTGCTGTGGGTAAAGCTGACCTGCTCCCTGTCGTGGGTAAAGCTGTCCTACTCCTTGTTGTGGGTAGAGCTGGCCATCATACACGGGTGCATGCAGCGTCACGGGCACTGGCACCGGTGATCTGGCTTTACGCATGCTGCAAAGCATCACACATCCAGTCAGCCCAACAGGTACTGCGAATAAGAGAACAGGTTTTTGGTTACTGACTGAGTTTTGACAGCAGTATGCAGACATAAGAATGCAAAAGATTTAAAGTTGAAAGTTAACGCATTAGCACTGAGATGTTTGATGTATGTATGTATGTATATATATATATTATATATATATATATATATATATATATATATATATTTGATTGTATATGTATATGAGTGTGGATATATATGCATGTATGTGTATATGTGTGTATATGTGTGTATGTATGTATGTATATATGTGTATATATGTGTATATATATGTATATATATACATATAAATAATATGTATATATATGTATATTATATGTATATATATATATATATATATATATATATATATATATATATATATATATATATATGTATGTATGTATATAAAGATAAGAACTGGACTACTGCCGAGGAATGGAGAACGTCCGGCAGCTCCTATCCTGGGCATGAGTTTGCTTCTGTAGATTAGAGTGTCAGGTTCTTCCAGCCATGACAAGGGGGTGAATTTGCAGGACTTGCTCGAGGAGGAGAAAGTTACTTAGGCAAACAAGTCTCACGCATGGTAGGTGCGAAGCAGCTGTACCCTTTATTGATATAAACAATATCCGGTAGGTAGCAGTTCACACTACCGCGACAGGAAGGCTCCCTGCCTCCCTGTTGCAGGCTTCCTGTGGGTGCACGATCTCTATGTATCGCGGACACTATGACCTGGAAGGAAAGTCGCGAAGCTGTATGACGAGGGTGACTCAGTGTCTGACGGGCACTATGTCGCGGTGGCTGTGTCGCGCGAGGTGTCCTCACATAACCTGGTCGTCGGCTGACCTTACTTTGTGTGTCGCTGTGACTGTGTTGCGCGAGGTTTCCGCTGACCTTACCTACCCTAAATGCTCTAACTTCCGCTACTGCTTCAACACGTGATCTTGCTATAATAATGAATTTTCAAGGAGTGAGACATCATTCAGCATGGAGAACTCAACCGAGCTTCCATTACCACCCTACCCCGAACTCGATATTTCATGGTACGAGGGATTGAATGAAGATTACCCTCCCCCACCTCTTGTCAATGTCCCCAAGGCCTGTCACATTATAACATCATGCCGGGCGACTGTGAAACTCAGAGTTGGCCAGCATCTCTTTACGAAGGAAAGGGACCATCAGGACAAAGTTATGTGGAGATGCGAACAGAACCTGTGGTGCCAGGGTTCACACCGTTAATGAGGAAATAGTGAAGTGGCAAAACCCCATCCACAGACATCCTGCTGTCCCTGGGAAGGCTGAGGTGGAGGGGATACTAGCAGCAATGAAGGAACGTGCTGCCGCAACAGCAGAGCCCATCGCACATATTGTCAACACATTTTACGCTAGAGTTGAAGCCGGCTCATCTAATACAACGGCAGACGTCATCAAGAGGACGCTGAGGCGAGTGCGGCAAAAGGCAGGTGTGTCTGATCTTCAGCCATTCTGGACACCGTTAAGCGGAGTACATCTTCCTTCCTTCGTTATGAAGATGATTGGGTGATGATCTTCGCAGCAGACTCTGATTCGAAATTTCTTGCCGTCTCGTCATTGGTTTGGTGATGGAACGTTTAAAGTGGCCTCTGTCGGATACAAGCAGCAGTACACACTCCATGCATA